TAAATGCATATGCAAGATTAAGTATTTAAATAACAGTATTTATACCACTTCAATCTCCTTCCAGTATCAATACAAAAACTCTACATTTTATATAAGACAAAACCTCACTGAACTCAGCGAAATTCGCAATAGCTTTTAGCACTTTCCATACCCTCGCTGGCAAACATCACCGTCTTCGACATTTAGTGCCCTCATATTGTATATTATAATAAACGTCTGTCGTACTTTACAGCCGCTGTACACTCCACTGTATGTTAATACGTGTTTGAAGTAAAAACCGTTTTAGCTTTTACAATGCGTATTGTTATGTAAGTGGATGAAAATGTTGGAAATGTTACCAACATGCTATTATGTACTTACTTTTTTCTAAAATTTATGATAGTTTTCATTCTCATGAGAGTGCTCGAGCGGTCGTAAAGATTCGGAATGGATTCATAAACACTGGATTGTTATACAATTCACATAATAATTATGTCTCATTTTAACGTAATGCAAATTGATACTTAAAATGAGTTGTTGAGTAGGCAAGCCATAATATTCTATGGTTTATTTTTCCTTTTGTTCATTAATGGTGCATCTGTTGAACATTAAATCTTAGCAGACTTTCAAAATCGATGATTAGCAAACTAAAAGCTTATTAAAAGCTTTTAACGGAAGCTTTTGCGGAGCTCAATTAAAATTGTATCTTAAGATGTTTGCCAATGATTACGATAAATAATAAATACCTTAAAGAAACATAGCAAAATAAGAGTAAATACATAACAGTCAGACACCATAATTCTTGCTTGGCTTTTGCAATTGAACTTTCAAAGCTCTACACTAAAATAAAACAAACCCTACCACTTACAACTCACCTCAAGCTGCAACTCACTCCGTACTTCGACAATGATTGCAATTATTAAACAGTCGACAATCGCGCAAATGGCGTGTGGGAGCGGGCAGCGGTGCGTCTGGCGCGTCATTAAGGAGCATTCACGGCGTGCGACAATATTCTTCATTTGCGTGGCGTCATTTGCTGCATTGTCGCCTGTACCGGTGCAGTGTGCCAGCGCCTTAATTGTTACCCTTGTTTCGACGGTCAGCGAAGGTACGAGCATCCTAGTGAGTAGGTGCACGGTAAATCATAATCAAGGCTCTCGTGTTGCAATGGTAAAGCCTTTTCAGTAATATTTGGCATTGAGCTTTTACGAATTAAACAAAAAAATAAGACGGTTAAAGGTCTCTAATCGACAATGATTGTAATAATTATGAAATAGTCAACAAGCGTGTGGGAAGCTAGCGGGCAGCGTGCTTCTGGCGCGTCATTAAGGAGCATTCACGGGGTGCGACAATATTCTTCATTTGCGTGGCGTCATTTGCTGCATTGTCGCCAGTGTGCCAGCGCCTTAATTGTTACCCTTGTTTTGACGGTCAGCGAAGATATCAAGTGTGTAAGGGACGTGCAGCACGGCTAAATCTTAATCAAGACTCTCGACTCGCGATGGAAATCCATTTTAAATACATAATTCGGTGTAGCACTTTACGATTTTGATTGCTGTACTTGCAGACAAGACTTGAAAAAAAAAAGACAGCAAGAACCATACTTACAGGTTAAAGAAAACAGTTTTCAAATCATATCTTAAAATCACTGTCTGAAAAGTATGTACCTATGGTTCCAATAAATATTTATTTTTATTATTAAATGGTCTGATTGATGCTCTACTTCATTGATTCTACATATGACACATTGGCGTTAAAATTAGATACGACATACAGATACAGACAATAGTCATTAACAAAAAAACTATTGCACACACAAATACAAAGTTAACGCAATCGACTTTGATCAAGTAGACGTATCAATTTCGTCTCTATCACAGTCTAATATTATAATGCCTATTAAATAACACTTAATAACCAACTGGCTGGCACTTTAACTTCGGTTTCACATAACGAAGTAGTAAGCAGTAACGCTAGTTAAGTCTTTTACAGCTGAAGATATCAACACAGACTCTACAATACTCTAAGCCTAGGCGCAGACCATCGATTTTTCGTCGGCCGATAGTTTAGTCGGGCAGTTGATCAGTATGGGCATGTATGGAAATGCGCACACAACACCGATTCGATTTGGTCAATTGCTCCTACAGTTTAAAATTGGGCACAACTATCGGTCAACTAAACATCGGTGGTCTGCGCCTAGTTTAGACTAGGCGCAGAAAGCAGCAGTAGTTTTTTTTTTAAGATTATTTTTTTATTGATTTCCGTGTGTGATTTCAGATGACCATTCAAATGAATGAGCAAGCTTATAATGATTCATCGCCAAATGTGCAGACTACAGAATACTACAGATGCTTTATAAAATGAGGGATTAGGGTAGAATTCAATTTAGTTATGACACTGTGACTGAGAATGAGTTGCTTCGTATTTATAAATCGACTAGTGACGGTATGAACCTTTTATTTTTACTAAAATTTGAAAATAAATATGTATATCAATACCAGAAATCAAGCTTTAAAGAATCGAAACGTGACAGCCACGCTACATGATCGCAGATGCTAATTTTTAATGTACTGAATTGAGAGAAATAAAAACCTAAGCTGTAATATCAAAAATACCTGTTGGTCGATTAAAGTAAAATTACGATATAAACAACGGTTTCTTTAAATATATGAACTTTAATGTGCCAAAAAAAATCTTGCTTTCATCAGGTTTTCCTGAAAAAACGAACATTGTCAAATGCAAGGACTATTTCTCCCGCCAAAGCGGAGTGAGCTTACTGATTCTACTCTACCTTCATAGAGCTTTGAGCTCCAAAAACTAATAACTCAACTTACATCCAATTAAAAAGAATAATACATAATAACGCCGCATTCACCTGTCGCTGTAATCTGTATTAACGGTTATTAGCCTTATCTCATTTAAATAGAGATGAAAATCCTTTGGTTTGATGGTGGGTAATAGAGATTAGGACAAGTCGAGTAACGGGGCATTTGTTTTCGTAATGTTAGATAGAGACCATCGATATTCATAGTGATTTAAAATGTTGACCGAAAAAATACTAAGCAGAATTTAGCGAAATTTTTCAATGATAAACTTAGGTAGGTACTTAGCTTTTATTTAAGAAGAACATAACATAATACATATTGACGATTAGATGAAACTGAAGTTTTTGAAATTCACGCAATCGAACGTCCGCTTGTTTAACAACTACCAACCGAAAAGTTTGAGCGATATTTAAAAAAAATGGTCCCATATTCTATGGTAAGATTTAAATGGACAACTTTTTTTAAATCCCAACTCTCTGAGAGATGAACGGCATTTTACTTTGTATGGGAAATCTGATATCTGCTCGGACAAAATTGCAAGGACCTATAGGCCGACATGCATAAATTTCTTTAGAGCGTTTATAAAAAATAAAATAAAAAGTTTTTCTCAGGTAACTCTATCGGCATTGCTTTTTAGCGTCTCACTAACATTATTTTTAATCTTGAAACAAACCATCGATAATATTTTTCGGGCATGGTGCATCACTAGACTGATAGATCTTTGGCTGACTCACCGATTACCTTACATCTTCCTAGACGTATTGCCGTGATTAATCAGGCCCATTAAGTTTTAAACAAAGATTAATTATACTGATGCTGGACTGACCCACTCCAGAGCCAGATTTAAACTGGTGAAACCATGAGAAATTTCAGTCAATTTGTTTAAATAAAACTTTCATGTTTAAATCTAATCTCTATCTATCAAGTAATATTTTGAAATTAATGATTGTATCATATTTTTTATCTTAAAATTATCTTAATTGGGAATTCCTGATTGCCAGCACTTTATTTCAATTGAACAGCAAAATTTTTAAGACTTGACGTCTTCTAAAAATTTGTTTTGAAAACCCTTTTGAGATATCTCATTCAAGGTGTCGGCTCCCAAAAATGACTTGATTTTCAAAAGGCTCCAAGGTGGTTTGCCTTTTAATTAAAATCTATGGGACCATATCCCATTCCCGTAAGTATAACGTCTCATAATACCCAAGGATGCGCCGGCGCAGGCGCCCACCTGCGCACGCCGATGATCGATCAGCCCCGGCCGAATTAGCCCGATAATAGCCGATCCACCGAATTATTGAATTAACCCGAATCTTGGCCCGACCTCTTTCTTGTAACCCGACGCTATTCGTGTAACCAGTTTCCTGTACAAGTTTTAATAAAAATCACACATTCTTTCCCCCCAAAGAATACGGTCCAATATTGTTAACCATTCATCTGCACAAATTTCATTAATTCACTTAGTTCGCTCTTCGTGGGAATTCGTTAGATTGAGAGCAGATTAGCTCAATTAATTTGAGTAAATTAAGCTGATTATTGGATATACTTTCAGGCGCCCATTATATCAAATAATACAATTATATTGTATTCATGTTTTACTTGTTAACTTCTATTAACTCAGCTGTGTTTGTTTGTACATTCTCACGTACTTTACCCATGCTTGATAGTGATACATGATGCGTAGATCATTACTTAGCCTTTATAAACGTTTGGATTATTTATTCCAGCTTGCGTGTGGTTATGGTCATCATTATGTCTAGCTCTAGCTCCATTTATCGCGCCGTTCTGTCTGAGCTCGTCAAAATAACTAACTCCGTCTTAGTTTATTTCAGCATGCAAATGCACCCCAATTAGCAGTAACGTTTCTCGGTAGGTAATATTCATTATTTCGCTCCGGGATTTTTCCTGCACCGCAAACGCCGCCGTAATTAACCCAGAGACGGATCCTTCAGCGTTTGCTTATTAACGTCTAATCTTTGTTGCCGCCCGTCGATCTTAATTAATTCAATTAGAAGTATTAAGGAGTAGGTGAAGGTTGCGGCCCTCTCACTGAAATTTAAAAACTTAATGTCGTCGTAACGACTCGCCGAGTATACAAGGGGAGGCGAATTAATCAAATAATACCGCGGAGGCGCGGGGAAGGCGCCCCCCTCCCGCCCCGGCCCGCGCGACCGCGTGGCTCAGTTGCGACCGAAACGCCGCAAGGGGAAGTGTCGTCGATCCCCGTAAACGTTACTACTTTTTTCGAAGTTCTTAACACAGTTTTTGTTTTAAAGTTTAACAAGGAAGTTTTATGTGGCCGGTCTTTTATCCTGTCGAGCTGGAAGGTTAAGAGACAGCGCTCGGCAGTGTAGTTTATTGAGTTTATACGTTGGTTGTGTTTTTTCTGTTATTGTTGTTTTTTTTTGTTTGGTGCATCGTGCCGGCCCGGAGACCCAACGGTCCCAAAGAGGCTGCAAGTCTGGACGCGCGGCCAACAGACTCCAAAGGACAAAGCCTTTAGGTAACCGTTTAGCCGATAAGTTTGTGAATTTGTGAGATGTTCGGAAGCGATAGGCAGCGCCTAGCTCCGGCCTGTCATGCAGAATGTTTGTAAACAAATAGATCATCTAAATTGTGACGTGCATGTGTTATGGAAATAGCAATTCGCTGGTGGATGGACGAAACTAAAACTATTATTGTTGGTGATGAAGACGTCTGCGAGGAATTCAATCAAACACCACGTGCTGTAGTGAAAGCTGTGTTTACTTACAATGTCTACAAACAGACTGTTACTAAAAATATAGAGTTTAATAATTTGTTTATTTGGAAGATGTTTAAATACTTGTTTAATCTACTTATCTTAGTCACTATTAAGGCATTAGCTGCCGAGGATAATAATTATTTTCTAAAAACACTTTACTACTAATACCAAGGTCTAGGAAGGAAGTGTCAAAAATGATTTTCCTAGAACTATTGTTTTATTGTTTTGGCATGTGTAATAGTGGTTATTTATGGAATAAAGAATAAAGCACTACATAAAGTATTTTTTGTAATGTAGCTAGCTATAGTAGAGCTTTTGTAAATAATAGTATTCATTCAATTATTTCCATCGCTAAAACGGGGATATCCCCTAGAAAAATCAATTACTATCTAACATACAATTAAAGAATTAAAAGACAATAAACTATTCAATCAAGTTATAAAGTGCTGAAATCAATCGACTAATAATATTTAAATTAGATCAGACTAAAACAAACTTAGTTATAAAACTGTAATTAAAACTCGTCATTCAAATTCTACATGAGTAGAATTCCAATTATTTCGTCATCAGGTGAAACTCAATTACTAAGAGATAAATTAAACCATCAAGGATTTATTTACTTTGAACATCAATTTTCTTTAAAATAAACCTACTTTTAATTAAAGCTTTAACGAAAAACAAATACAGAAGAGGAGAGGCGTACAACCCTTCCACAGGGTGTCCCGGTGCTCTCCCCGCTAATAATTATTATGGCTGTATACGAAAGCTAATTAATTGGGGCTTCGGAACAAATACACATTACTATTTATGAGACAAGCTACAATCTCAACAAAACATCTCAATTTAAACCGGGACGAAGCTCCAAAAACTCTAATTTGAACATCCTTTAATCAAATTATGATTGATTGAAAAAAGTAATTAAATCCCGAATGAGAACAGCCGGCAAAGAACGACGTATCAGAGCGAGGTGTTATTAGAAAAGTTTTGCTTCGGCGTGCCCCCAAACAACTTATTAGATCAAATCATTTGTAATAAGACGGGTTGAAATTAATTTAAAACATGTCTAAGCAATATTATACGGACCACTTCATTTCATCACCGGTTTAATTAAAAACGAGTGCCCTCCCCCCTCCTTTTCGGGTTGGGGCACCCCCTCCCGCGTGGGCGTCTCGCTCCGCTTATATTTAGATAATTGTACAATCATCTAAATTAATGAGTCCTCTCGTCCGGTGCTGGCCTCTATTGTATTATGTTTATGCCGGCCAGACAACGGATACACGGTGACAATTTTAATTTAAAAATTCTAATTAATTCATTCGTTGTCCCCGACTCACGGCTCGCCAAATATTTTTTCGGGATTGTTTAATACTCTTGGGTTTTTTAGTTATAGCTTGATATTGAGCTGAATTTCAGTCATAAAAGTTATGACAATTAAGATTAAACTCTTAATTTAATTTTTTAAGATCCTCCTGACCCAAATCTTGAAAACAATATCAAAAGATAATCTCATTTGAGAATTTAATACCTTGTTAAAGAGACATCCGAAGTTACTCCTGCGACGAACTTCAAAGTCATTGTATAGATTAAGAAAGAAGAGTCAATAGAAGTTGAAACTTATTTAATCACTTAACTCTATTGAAAGTTGGCGGCCAATATGTTGAAAGAAGAATAGAATCTCTCGACGCTCACAAGTTGGTTGTTGACGACAGTGATAGAGCTCAATGCAATTAAAAGTTCCACTACGTGCGTGGTCGAGGCGCCGCGAATCTACCTAACTTAATTTATGCCGGCGATAAGCCCGAGTTATGAGAGCCAATTATTAATACTTATTTTAAATAAGATTCCCATTTAGATTTCGCCAAATTTTAATAACAGATTTGAGGCGCCTTTATGAAAGTCTAAAGATAACATCTGATTGGCACTCCAAATTAACTGTTAAGCGTTTAAGGAGGATAATTGTCATTGATGTACGAGCTTGATTGTAAATGAGTCGGATTAACAATGCGGCCGTCATCTATTGCTGGCAAGTGAAATGCATCGGCTACAGGAGCCAGGATGGAGTGGGCACGGACCCCGGAAGGCCCCGGGCGATCTGTCTAATGAACCCACCACCCCAGCCTGATTTATTAACGAATTAAACGCATTCTGCTGCACCCTCATGCAAATACGACATATACTGTTTTGGGAATTATGTAAAGTAAGATTAGAAACAATGTTTTATTAAAAAAGCTTTCAACCTTTCGCCTACACGAATATGTAAAGCCATCATGAGTGTTCAAGTTTAAAAAGGTTGTTAGTTTAGTTCTGAAGGTTAATAGCCTCTATGATCATTACTAAAGACAATGTGATTCTGTCCATTATGAGGTTATCTGCCTACACCTTAGTTCCTTATTTCAAATAAAAGCTACAAATAGCTCGATCGATATGCAAATAAACCATACAGTCACAAACAGCCATCGATGAAGCAAAAATGAAAGTTTTGGTATTTCCCGAGTACACTTCAACAAATTCAACGAGTAATAAGTGATACAGCTCACTCAAATGAAGTTACTATTTTGTCTGTTCGTACCAATGAATACATTCCATCCAGGGCAGACGCTATTCTAAAATGCACAGCACAACAGGTGTACGTTCCCATGTTCCTCTTATAAAAGCCTTTTATTTGTTGGAGGATATTCAAACACCACAAATGAGAGTTGATTGTTGAGATAAGAGGATTACTGAAGTATCAATGACATTAATGTTCCACATTCATTTAATATTTAGTGAGCTCTACCATTCGTTCCTGATTTCGTAAATGTAATAGCATTAAAAGCGTATGCTATCTCGAATATTGAATTCATTACTTTAGTAGATGTTGAATAAACAGGAACAGTGTGCTGGAATACTACTCATATTATTGTTGCATCCATTATTCAGCACCAGGCCGGTAAGGGATCGCCGGCGTTGCTACTAAATTATTAAACACGCGTTATAAACACGCCACCCCAAACTCATCTTCAAACTGTCTCTACTCGATGCTGATGGGGGAATCATTGGCGAAAGGCGACTTGGCGCGATGTTCCAAAGAAACTTCATCCTTTCTGCATAATAACGATCTTCTAAGTAACATTAACACAATGGCAGTGCATAACGGAGATTGTGTTCGGTTAAATCTGAGGCGAACTATTTAAGGCTTGGAATTCTCATTGAGGCAGTGGGCTCATAGTGGAACACCTGCTTTGATATCGCGCATGCCCTCTCCCCAGTCCGTAAGTCCACATTGACTAAACCGGTTCCGATTACAGGTTATAGCTGCCTACTTATCCGTTTGGCGGAAACGAACCTCTCACGTTGGCCGTCGTGCATATTCCTACAATGTACTGAGATACAAGTTAAATGAAGTTTAAAATTAATCTTGAATATTTATCACGTTGTACCATCATATATTTCGTACGAGTCTTGTCCAATATTTTTTCTAGCATTATTTACAGAACGATTACGGTTGTTACCCACAATTCTGGGAAGGAGCAATTCAACTCTCATACAAAAATAAACAAAGTCGTCACAGTTTATTTGTCTTGTGGGGGAGACGGTCCCCGGGAACCGAAACTAATGATTGTTTAAAGAATTTAGAACATAGGAATGCCCATTATCTTGAGTAATGTGATTTACTAATGCTGTTTTAAACCAATAAAATGAAACTAAGGTAAAGCAATACGGCACGTGCCATACATAACGAAATAACTGTTGCTAGGAAAATTGGCAGAATTTATTGCCTCATTATGGAAACTTCTAAATTAGTATTTTACAACCCATAAATGTTTTGAAGTAAGATAATAAAATAAAATATAAAATTTTAAGTGGCCACATACATAACATAATCAAGGTATTACCTACCAATATTTTGAAAGCCATTAAAGCAATGTGGCATTGATTACGGTTTAATATGTCAATTTGGAGACCGTTAATTTCACGTTAAATAAAAGTTTTGGTGTCAATGAAAGGCTTTTAAAGATCAACATTATGAGTGTAAGAGACAGGTGTAACTTGGTTGTTACGTGAAGAAAGAGATAGACTAGCTTAATGTCCCTCTGCGTGCGGGCACTCGGTTCCGTCGAGTCATCCTATTTGATTGTGAGCGGAATTTTGTGTTGTAATTGGGACTAATTATTGTTTTGAGACCTGTCTCTTATGGGCTGTTATAATGCTCTCACCTTGTCTGTGCCACCATCGAAGTTGTTATGATGAATGATTTGAAGTTATACAAAGATTTATCTCGATCGACACTTAATTAGTTAGTAAATTAGTCTTGATTTTTGGATTCTAGTTTATGAATGAAACAAAACAACACAACGGGTTTTACTTTTTTCGTTCAGTATTTAGTTCTAGGTATTTCCAGTTTCATGACAAGCGAAAGTTAGGCGGAGCCAGTTTATTGCATCAATTTCTGAGAACTGAAACGGGCAACGATAAAACAGTGCGATTGCACACGTAGTATTGTTGTGGAAGTTGGAATTAATAACTATCCTTAGCTAATACCGGCTATAAGGCACCTAAAGACGGAGCCCATATTTCAACGGTTGCCATGGCAACGTCGGCGCCAAACAACGCTCCGTCCAGATATAAAACAAGCGACGCCGGCTAGGATCGCCCTCCACTTATAAGGTACTTCATAAGTTATTCTTATGCGCTGACTAGCCTTTTTGCTAGTTTTATGAGTGCAGGAGGGTCTTGGAAAATCTATTTTCGTGGGTTAAAGGCAAATCCCATTAAGGGCG